ATTTTCATCATCTACTAGTTAGGAAAGAAGATTATACCTGGGTACTAACTTGTGAAATTCTAATTCAGTTAAGCTGCAACCTTACCCAAGGAAACAAGTGCAAAGGATTTAAGAATTTTTTTTTATATATTTTTTAAATTTTTTATTTATTATGTATACAATATTCTGTCTGTGTGTATGTCTACAGGACAGAAGAGGGCACCAGACGTCATTACAGATGGTTGTGAGCCACCATGTGGTTGCTGGGAATTGAACTCAGGACCTTTGGAAGAGCAGGCAATGCTCTTAACCACTGAGCCATCTCTCCAGCCCAGGATTTAAGAATTTGTAGCGGTTGTGATGTGATGTCAAGTATGCCTGTGGCCCCGGTTGCTAAGAAGGGTTTGGCTGGAGACCACAGGACAGCCTGACCCTCCCAGGAGAAGAAAAAAAAAAAATCTTGACCAAAATTGTCCATTGATTTCAGTTCTGAGCTCACAGTTTTTGCTTATTGGTTATTTGGAACAGATCTATAATACTATATTATAGTACCAGATTTTACCATTGCCTTAAAAGAAATTCGGGTTTTAAAAAATATTATTTATAACCCACAGAGAAACCCTGTCTCGAAAAACAATATATATATATATATATATTATTTATGTGCTTACGTAGAGTTCACAGCACAGTTTGTAGGAGTCTGTTTTTCTTTTACTGCCATGTCTTAGGGACTGAATTCAGGTCGTTGGGCTTGATGGCAAATTTACTTTCTGAGCCATCTAAGAGCTTCGAGATCTGCTGCCCTCTCCACCCTCTCTGTTGTTTTGGGACAGGGTCTTGCTGTGGAGCCAAGCTGGTCTTAAACCCGAGATTCTTCTGCCTCAGCCTTGGTATTACATGTGTGTTCACCTCACCTGACTTCACTCTTTCTCTAGGAGTGTATCTCTAACTTTTTAGAGAAAAATAGGTAACAGTTAAAAGACTATTTTCTTGAACAAAGCACTAGCATTCTCTTTGAAGCTGCTTAAGTTCTTGACTTTTTTTTTTTTAAGTGGGTGATTAGAAAAAGATATGTTATATGCTGAAGAACTGACTTTGGTACTAATTTTGAATTAATAAAAATCTAGTTTTTATTTTGTATGGGTTCATTTGGGATCTGAGATTTAAATACCTATCAGGTAGATTTTTAAATATGAATAAATAGAGTTTATGAAGTGTGATCTTTTTCTATTCTAAGTAAACAAACCTAACTCTATTCTCTATCCTCTGTCTCCATGCTGTCCTAACTCCTGTTATGTCCTGTGATGTTAGCAAAGTGGGGCAGTCTCAGCAAGACTAAGGATGCCTTCCAGCTTTTGAAACCTTATATTTTACACTATACGCGAACGATAGCTAGCTGACAAGAACACTTTAAAAATAGCAGACTCACGGACAGGTGACAGATGTCACCCTGGCAGCACCAGACTGCAGTAACAAAATCACCAGATGTCACACGCTTAGTCCTGTTTTCACAGCTGATTCAACAGCAGCATTTGTTGGACAAAAGGAAGCAAAAAGAAACGGCCTCCTGAATTTAGCATCAGGGTTTCTTCTGCTGCTACACACACTTTCTCTTTCCCCCAAATCCTGTAATAAGTATTAAAGTTTAGTGCACAATGCACTAAGAAAACATTTTAAAATGATCACAGTCTTAGGAAAGAAAGCTTCATGCATGCTGTCTTCAGTGATCTTATTTTTTCCACGTAGCTAATTTGTATTCAGTGAAAAAAATAGATTGCATTTATACTCTAAACACTACTTTTTCCAAGATATAAACTAAAAAGTCATATCTAACTTTACCAAAAACATTTATTTAATAGGAAACCTAGATTATATCCAGGTTATAGATTCTAGGGATCCAGTACTGACACAGAGCTCCTTATGAGACTTATGTTAATTTTTATCTAAAGACCCATTGGAAAAAAATTAAGGAGAAGACCAGGAAAGGTAAAAACTACAGTGTTTTTTTTTTTCCCCCAAGCAGCAGAGCCTTCTCCTGTAAGACCTGTCCAAACTTCTTGCTCTGCTTCTTAAGGAAGACAGTTGCAAGTGGCCAATGAGGTGAGAGGACAGTAACTAGGAAGCAGCCCGCTTCTTCTCAAGTTCATCTTGACAAGGTGGAATGTCCTAGCTCTTCAAGAAAAAACTCACTCATGTCATGTAACTGTGCTTAAGTTCACAAACATAGAAACCTTATCTGATGCATTGTCAGTGAAATATGTAATTCTTTATTATAAAGTTAAATGAAGAGCAACTAAATGTGTGGTTGCTCTATGTCCTTTATTGTAACAATATTAAGGACCATTGGTCCCTTTTAAGAACTCATACTGTCCTCTGAATATTCATTGGTTAAAAATTGAAGAGAATCTGCTTTTCATGTTTTGTTTAAACAGGATCTCACTATGTAGCGCTGACTGGTCTAGAATTCACAGAGATGGCCTGTGCACCTATCTCTGACTTTTTCATGTTATTGCTTATTTTTTTGAGATGGTTTCACTGTTCATCTCAGGCTGACCTTGATCTTGTGATTCTTTTGCCTCTGCCTCCTGTATGTGGGTTATAGGTGTGTGCTGCCATCTAACTAAAGAGATTCTGTTTTCCTTAAGTTCTAATGGAAAATGAGTTGAAAGTCTTGATGGGATTTCAGTGTAGTCTTTCCAGCAATTGGTGATTGTGGTTGATACCCTAGAATATGATGAAGCTAAATTAGAGGATATCACTTTTAGTCTTCGTGGATGTTAGTTTTAGATGTAAAGAACATTGATTTAATTAACTGAAACCATAATGTAATTCTCTTACTGAGTCAAGTCTTGCTAGTAACAAACTTTTGTGAAGTAGTTTTCATTAAGATGTTGGTAGGAGACAGCATCACATATGGTGTAGACTATAAGCTAGGAGACAGCACCATATATGCTGTTGACTATAACTCTCAGAGACTCTAAAGTGACCTAGGAAGTAGAAATACATACATAATAAGACATGTGGGACATGCCCACAAGTGTAGTTATGTTAAATATGTCTTCTAAACAAGGGGATACTTTTAAACTCCTAGTAATTAGCTTGTAGCTAATATGAAAACAGTTTTTCTACAGAAATCATATATTCAAGAATGTTTTCTTTATTATTCTTTGACAGTTTCATTGATTTTTTTTCCCTATTTACACACACACACACACACACACACACACAAAGTGGTAAAGTTGAGTGAGGACTTTGGTTTTATTCATTATGTTATCTAGGTTTTCCATGATCTTGAGCTTGGTAATGATGTTTGCCTTCAGTTCAGTTCCCAGTAACAGTTTAATACCAAATAAAAACTGGGTTCTTTTCAATTACATATAGAGCTGCATTTGTTGTAGGAAAAAAATCAGAAACCTTTATCTACAGTTTTCTCTGTACTATTCTCCCCCAAATACGATGACATTTATTTAAGCAGTGGCTATAAAGTAAAATGAACATTTTTAGGGCTGTAGGGGTATCTCAGTGGCAAAACATTTGTCTTAAAATTGACATTTTACTGTGAATTTCATGATAACTCTTTTTTTTTAAACATTTATTTATTTATTATGTATACAGTATTCTGTGTGTATGCCTGCAGGCCAGAAGAGGGCAACAGACCTCATTACAGATGGTTGTGAGCCACCATGTGGTTGCTGGGAATTGAACTCAGGACCTTTGGAAGAGCAGGCAATGCTCTTAACCACTGAGCCATCTCTCCAGCTCCCTCATGATAACTCTTAAAGTAGCTATATATTAAAAGTTTATAGAGTCATACATAGATGGGTTTAATTTTAATTTTTTGATACATCTATCATCTTTGTCTCTAATGATGAAAAAAGCAGCAAATTATTGTATCTTTCATTCTATACCCCTGTGTCTTTCCTTCTGTACTTCTGAGTCTCGCTCTGTCTACCTCCCCAATGCCCCCCCCCCCGCCATGTATATATCTTTCAGTCTTTATTCCAAAGGGCCATTAGTTGAAACGTCTGATTCTATTTATTGTCTTATAGATCAAGGGTTCAAACTTTGCAAAGGACTATAGAATTTTAGGGTTTACAGGACACAGGCCTCTGTTGACTCTTTGCTTTTGTTCCGTTTTCCAGCCCATTAAAAATGTAAAAATGGTTTTTAACCTCAGAGGTATACAAAAATAGGAAGCCAACCAGTATGAGCAGAAATTTCAATTCCCGTATTATTCATAGAGATGAACCTCTGGAAAGCCACATTTGTCACAAGGTCATACGAGTGTTAGCGGTGAAGTCAGACATGGTAGTGCGTGCTTCTAATGCCAGTTCTTGAGGGAGGCAAAGACAGGCAGGATCTCTGTGAGTTAGGAGCCAGCCTGGTCTACATGGTGAGCTATACATCGGCTAGGGCCACATAGTCATGAAAGAAAACAACATCCCATCCCACCATACAACCATACCGGTGAAAGAAAAGGAGTGGTAGGGCAACTTACAAACTCCTAAATTTTTAGATCAGTCTTTCCCTTACCATATTTGCATAAAATTTGCCATCTTTCTTCATTTTGCTACTCTGGTAATTATGTTGCATTTTTGAAACATTATGAAACTGTATCTTTTTATTCTCTCTAAACTTCATGTGATATACTTCTCTAAATTTCTTTTTTATGCCTTAATTTGCAGGGCATAAATAAATGATCATTTAAATTAAATGCTTATCCAGGAAATAGACTTATTTAAATTTTAATATGAGAGATGTACAAATTTCAGACTATAATGGAAGCTTCTTTTTGTTTGGTTGTATTTTGTGTTGAGATTTTGACTTTGTTTTAAGACTTTTCATGTCTGTGTTTTATGAATTGATTTTAAAGTTGTAAATGCTTTGGCCTTGATAGCATTGCTATAGATTAATTTGTAGTATTTTGTAATGTGTATATTTTATAGTGTATTTGAAATAATTATATTGAACCATATTTTTGTGTGTATGTGTGCTTAAGATAAAATTGCTTTATTTTCTAGGACGCATGGGAATAAATTTTCATCATCCAGGAACCGATAACATTATGGCACTTAACAGTAAGTCTTCCTATGAGATACTCTATAAAAAGTATCAGTTAGGTTTACAAGATACAGTTTTTGGTTAATTATATTTCCACGGTTTTAGAGTGAAATTACTATATTAGCAGCATCAGCATTACTTGGGTACTTACTAAAAACAAAAACAAAAAAATCTCAGGGTCTCCTAAAGACCTACCTGTAGAGTGAGAAACTTTAAGGACGGGTTACAGAAATTTGCGTATTATCAGTCATATAGGTGATTCTGAGTAAGCAAAAGCATGAAAGCTCACCTCTCCAAACCCTCTTTGACAGAATGCAATCCTGCGACTTAAATCTGGCCACTGCCTTTGTTTGTAAACAGAGCTTTAAATTAGTAGCAGGAAATGTTTCCCAGCTCCCTTTCTGTACCACTAGGTGAAATAATGAAAGAAGGAGGCATAGGGCAAGAGAAAGAGTAGGGCAGAAAACGTGAGTGAATAACTTAACTAATTGTACATAACTCATAATTTTCCCATTATTGTAAGTAGCCCATAGATGTTTCAAGATGGATATTCAGGGCTTTTCCACTTACGAAATTTGTATACTATAGATGCTAGCAGCTTTGCTGATCAGAAGTGGTTTTGTCAGTATTATTATGGGGTTACATTCTAGGACCACAAAAAAAAATTATTAACCAGAATGTTGGTGATTTGCTTAATGCTTTGGAGAGTCAGGTGGTGACACGCACCCGTAAATCCCAGCACTTGGGAGATAAAGACAAAGCAGGATCAGGAGCTCAAGGTTACATCTCTATGTAGAGAACTTGAGGCAGCTTAGGCTATTTGAGCCTAAGCTATAAGAGCACTATGCCTGAGTATTTCATATTACCCATTACACACAACATAGTAAATATTTATATAAACGTGTATATTTGTAGATTAGAAAAAGGTTAAAGAGGCTACAGCAGAGTTCAGGAGTTACAGCAGTCCTTACTGGAGGCAGAAGCAGAGAGCAAAAGATAGAAGCAGTCCTTGCAATAGAGAAAATAGAAAGGACCCAGTTGAACTGCTAGAGGTACACAGAGTCTCTAGGTTGAGCCAAGACTGCAGAGGTTAGGTGTGAGACTGTAAAGGCATAAGAAAGGAGCACTCGGGAATCAGAGGCAGATGGATCTCTGTGAGTTCGAGACCAGCCTGGTCTACATAGTGAGTTCCAGGACAGTCAGGATTATACAGAGAAACGCTGACTCGAAAGTAGAGAGAGAGAGAGAGAGAGAGGGAGAGAGAGAGAGAGGGAGGGAGGGAGAGAGAGAGAGAGAGAGAGAGAGAGAAGATAGGAGTGATGGGATGCAGTTATAGAATGGGGTTATAGCTGAAATGAAGCCCCAGGGACAGCCGAGAGTTCTCAGCCTGTGGTCCCATAGTGCACAACCACCACCAGTTCAGATGACAGGCCTGTGTCTGTTGTTACCGCACTGTTAGGTGTCCTCCTCTTTATGGAATCTAGGTGAAGGAGTTTCACTCCTTGTTCTGGTATGTTCTATAAATTCTTGGGCCTGGTTTCTCTGATTCAGTTTTACTATGTCAGTATGCTCACACGTTCCCAAACTTCTTTATCATTTTTGCTTTGGGGAGAGTAAGTTGCTTGTCGATTTGTGTGCTGGGTGGTGTTGGACAGATGTGGTATCTATGTGTACAGAGAGGTGCAAAATCACCCTGCTTCATGTTAGCACTCAAAATGGATTCCAGTGCTGCTTGTAAAGTGAAAATCGTCCCCGGGCGAGGCACAACCTGAAAACTTGTGCAGAAAACAAAAGCCCTGAGCCATCTACCCAGGTTCTTGCCCCTACAGCATGTATAGACCAGGGTCAGCTTGCCTCTCCAACGTGTATAGACCAGGGTCAGCTTGCCTCTCCAACGTGTATAGACCAGGGTCAGCTTGCCTCTCCAGCGTGTATAGACCAGGGTCAGCTTGCTGCTCCAGTGTGTATAGACCAGGGTCAGCTTGCTCCTCCAGCCTGTATAGACCAGGGTCAGCTTGCCTCTCCAGCGTGTATAGACCAGGGTTAGCTTGCCTCTCCAGCGTGTATAGACCAGGGTTAGCTTGCCTCTCCAGCCTGTATATACCAGGGTCAGCTTGCCTCTCCAGCGTGTATAGACCAGGGTCAGCTTGCCTCTCCAGCGTGTATAGACCAGGGTTAGCTTGCCTCTCCAGCGTGTATAGACCAGGGTCAGCTTGCCTCTCCAGCATGTATAGACCAGGGTCAGCTTGCCTCTCCAGCGTGTATAGACCAGGGTCAGCTTGCCTCTCCAGCGTGTATAGACCAGGGTCAGCTTGCCTCTCCAGTGTGTATAGATCAAACAACTTCACAAGAGAACCTACACAGAAATCATCTCTTGTCAGGAGGCCTACACAAGCTGTTGACTCTCAGAATTTAGTTTTCTTCTCTGTCAAGCGAGTGATACCAATTTCTGACCTCTTACCCTCTCAGGGCTGCAGGCCAATCCTTGGTCCACATGGGGGACACAGTGAATAAACGCAGGGCTGTGCGTGTTAATCCCCTTTCTTCTTGAGTAAGGGTTTTGAAATACCACTAGACTTTCTTAAGGCAGACTTTAGATTCTCTAAAATAGACACTAAAATATTAATAATCTAAAATATTACATATTTCCTTGGATCTGACACACAGCACTTACCCTAAGTACTGCTTGGTGACACAAGCCCTGATCTGTTCTATGCATGTTTCCTGTTTGGAGGGCCTTGACAATACAAATTCCACAGTATGCGCCTCTCATTTCCTATTTCAGAAAGTATATTGAGATTAGGCTGTGTGTGTGGGGGGGCAGACAGGCGGGAAGGGGGCGCTGACCACGGAAGAATAGTGTGAGAGCATTGTCTGCCTGAAGCAGTTGCTGTGTGTCTGGAAATGACCTAATTTGACATGATGTGAATTATCCTCTGCAAGAGGCAGAGGATGCAATTTGTTAATTTCTGTGTAGAAAATGAAAGTAAAAGACATCTTCTCTTCAAAAGGTTTTGATTATCTTTGGTTTATAAAATAAGAGCTCATTTATGAGATTTGCACTCTGTACATGTGGCTTACATCCCCCTTTTAGCATTAATTGCATCTCTTAGAGAAAGGAAGCTGATTAGGTAATATTCAAAAAAGTATTTTTTTATTGTGTGTGAATAATGTGTGTGGAGGTGGGGAAGTGTATGCATGCCAGGGCATAGGCGTGGAGGTCAGAAGGCCATTTTGCTGGTATCTGTGTCACACGTTGATGGGCTATGTAGATAGTTGGGATTTGAAGGCAGACAAGAGCTTCAATCTTCATGTGCTTCTCTGGGTGTTCCGGGGCAGACAAATCAAGTTGGCTCCTCAAAATAAACCATTCAAAAAACGGCAACCAGAGTGTGGCATTTGCACTGCTTATAGTCAGTTCTCTTTCAAAGTCATCTTGACGTGGTCACAATCCACTGTTATACTACATGTGGTATGACACACTGAGCCCATACCATCTAGTGACATGGATGTAACATGTGAAGGCATGTTTGTGTGTATAGTATTTATGTAGGGACCAGGTTGGCTTAGAAGTTGAGATTCTCCCACCTCCACCTACCAAATGGTGGTATTTTACCCATGTGCCACCACCATACATAGCTCCATAATTTCTTCCCTTCGTATCCCACACATCAAATGAACTAGACTTGGTTTCTTTGGGACAGTCTGGCAAGCTCAGGCCAGCCTCAGACTCACTGGCCCCATTGGTAACACTCCCACCAGGGCTGGTATTGCAGACGTGCACCCCATTCCCAACAGCACATAGGCACTTTTCGTCTCCTTCTGTTTTCCCTTATCATTTGTCAACCCAAAGTTGTTGTCCTAGGAAGGTCAATTCTTCCTCTCCCTCAGCTTTATATAGGAATGACTGGAATAAAATTAAAGATCACTAAAGTTTATGGTGGTGCACACCTTTAACCCTAGCACTCAGGAGGCAGAGGCAAGCAAATCTCTGAGATGAATTCCAGGACAGCTAGAACTACATAGAAAGATCCTGTCTCCAGGGGGCTGGAGAGATGGCTCAGTGGTTAAGAGCATTACCTGCTCTTCCAAAGGTCCTGAGTTCAATTCCCGGCAACCACATGGTGGCTCACAACCATCTGGAATGAGGTCTGGTGCCCTCTTCTGGCCTGCAGGCATACACACAGACAGAATATTGTATACATAATAAATAAATAAATATTAAAAAAAAGATCCTGTCTCCAAAACAAAACAAAGCTCTCTAAATTTAATAATTCAAAATTTTTGATCTTTGAAAGGAACAAAATACAAATTCAATTATATTTTTAAATAAGAAAGGGAGTGGCTAAGTAAACAAAGAAGTGTGTGTGTGTGTGTGTGTGTGTGTGTGTGTGCGCGAGCATGTGTATGTACGAACATGCATGTGGAGGCCAGAAGACAACCTTTATATTATTCCTCAGGCACTGTCCACCATTTTCTTTTTTTAAATTTAGAGATTTGTCTTGCTAGCTTGGAGCTTGCTGATGAAAGAGGCAGTTGCTGGGCCAGGAAGCCCCAGGAATCTGCATGTGTCTGCCTCCTGAGCGCTGGGATTATAAGTGTGCCCCATACTCAGCTCACCTTCTACCCCACAGTTGTTCTCATGCTTACAAGGTGGGCTCACCTTCCTAGCCCCCGACTTTTCCTCTTTAATACTGTAACTCTGGGGACTAGAGAGTGGCTCAACAGTTGGAAGTACTTCTCTCTTAGAAGTACTTCCAGTTCATTTCCAGCACCCATATTGGTCAACTCATAGCTACTTGTAACTCTAGCTCCAGGGGGATCCAATGCTGTCTTCTGGCCTCTGAGGATACCTGGGCATGTGTGACATTCACTCACACAGACACAGATATAAAAAATAATGTAAAAAAACCTTCAGGTGTGGGGGTTTGAAACAGGGCTTCTCTGTGTAGCTCTAGCCACCCTCGAACTTGCTGTGTAGACTAGGGTGGCCTTGAACTCAGAGATTGACCTGCCT